GTATACAATGTTTTTAAACAACTGTTATATCTAACAAGTGTGAATGAATTACTGAGCTGTTTCTAAAACTTAGTAATCTCAACTAATTTTTGAAAATGAAAATTATTTCTGTATCCTTTAAAATAATCAACAAAGAAATACAATCGTCATTGAAATGTTATGGGGATTGCTGTTTCATTGAAGTCAATGGTCTAGAAGTTAAGCATCCGCTCACGAATCCGATGGTCCAGCGTTCGATTACCGCATGCGAGGGTCATGGGTGCACTTTGATGATGAGTCCAATACTAGAAAGAAACAGTGATCTGATGCTGTCAGGTTTATAATGCCTGATCGATTTATGACTTCGATGAATCTCAACAATCTTCACTAGCCTATAATGACAATTGCTATTTGCTCACTAGTGACTAGCTTCGTGGGAAGCTGTGACCATTGGATGTTAACTGTGTAGAGTATGGGGCAGTTATCCACCAAAAATAATGGATCAGGTCACACAACATCGTGGGTTGATTTAGGTTAAACATTAAAGACATTTTAATACTGATGAAAAGCATAGAGAAACCCAACTAAACGTTTATTATAACTAATTTATCCAAAGTTAAGCGTTAAATTTTATGAGTTCAAAATACTAATAAGATTTCTTTCAGCTTGATGACAAGAATTATTAACTAGAAAAGCAACTCTCATTTTATTCATTCTCTTTACATGTATTACGGATGGAAGATCATGTGATCCTTGTTAATGCTGTCCACCAGCATTTGTGCAAAGTTGACAATATCACATTGAATGTGTTGACAGATTTTCATGGTGCATGTTTTGACTGGGAATTATATTCACGACCACTTCCTGACAAATAAATCGATATTGCTTTTGACATTTCTGCGTTGATAAAATAAATCACAATAAGTCATTATTCAGTAAAATGGAAAGTAATTACAGATAATTTGTTTAATCTATCGTGATAAATTTGAAGTGGTTTGATGAAATAATTCGTCATCCTAGTCCCTACCAGGTGAACCTGGTCTATCAATACATATTCACCACAAAATCGTATACGATTGTTTGCTGCAAATGTTTTGGGGAAAATATTTTGTATATGGTATATATATATATATATATATATATACAAGGGATCAAATTCCGCCTCACCAACAGACGAGAAAACCAGCATAACCATCGGAAAGATCAACAGTGGCAAAGCAACAGGACCAGACAACATAACATTTGACTCATTGAAACCAAACAAATAAGTAACTTCAGAGATTCTGACACATTGTTCAGCAGATTTGGTGGAAAGAACAAGTGCCAGCAGGCGCGGAAACAAAGATACCTCATTCAATATACACAAAGCAAAGAGACCTAAGCAAATATGAGATCAATAGAGGAATCAAATTTACTATCAACACCAGAGAAAAATGTTCAACAGAATGCTGCCACAAAGATTCAGTGGATGCCCAATTTCGAGATAAACAATTCAGAATTCCGTGGGGATTAGTCATCCACCAAGCTTAATGTTAAATAGTTGATTGAACGGAAACTAATCGCCTTTAATTGCCAAAACAGAAGCAGAAGGTCTTGACAAACACAAGGGAAAACCAGTAACAAAAAATACAGTATAGTTAGAAGCAACCAAATCATACTTGACACAGAAGCTCTTGAAGAGGTGAATACGTCTTCTTACCTGGACAGCACCAGTGATAAAAACTAGTGATTTGATACAGATGTGAAGACAATAATAAACAACGCAAGGGTAATGTTCTTACAATTGAAGAACAACTAGTCCTCAAAATAACTCTCAGCCAACACCAGAAGTGAGAATCATCAATACCAATGTCAAGACGATCTTATTGTAAGCGGCTGGAACTGGGAGAATTATCATAACTATCATTTGAACGATGCACACATTTATGAACAGTTGTCTAGACCAAGATACTCAAGATTTGTTGTCCAGACACGATCGGAAACAACCTACTGTTAGAGAGAACAAAACTGATTCCATATTATGAAGGAATCAGTAGAAAGTACTGGAGGTGAATTTGGACACACATAATAGGAATTTCTAAATCGCTTCACGAGGCTGGCACTAACTTGAGCTCCTTAAGATGAGAGGGGAAGAGGCAGATCAATGGACCTATTGCTCTGGAAATGGGGAAGCAGACATTTGAAGATTGAATAGCTATTGTGTAGACCTGCAATGGAAGGCTCATGACAAAGTAAGTCATAAAATGCTGGTGAGCGGCTTGTGTTCTATGGACGGTAGCATCAGTGAAAAAATATGCTACTATTTGTCAATATTTTCATCAAATCCATCTTAAGCAGGTGTATTCTTGCTTATCAGATTAAAGTTTTTAGAATTCTAGTGGCAGAATCAACTTTTTCAAATTCACTGATTATGGTAGTGCTCTGTCTGGTATACAAAATTTCTAAGTCATTGGAAACTTTCCACTCACATAAATATGAATGAATGAACAAGTTATATGAAGTTGAAATTAATAACGTAGTTTGTTTGTGAAATTATTGATAATGTTAACATTATTGCGGTAGGTGAGTTACTACATGAACAGGATGCTGGAATTTTCGAAATAATGCATTGACGGCCAATTATACTGATTATTACTGATCTTACACAAATATGTAGCTGATGAAAGAGTATAGATTGATGAAGAGATGACCGAAAATTATGTTAAACTTATTATTACATCAACATGGTTACATTGAAACAATGTGAAGAACACATATATGTATGTATATCTGTTGGGAGTGTGAATTTATATCCTAATGATGTGCTGTTTTTTTTGTCTTTCATTGTCCACCACAAACAAAATTCAAAAAAAAAACGAGCGCTCATAGATGTTTTACTTATCCAAATGGCAAGAATTTAATGAACACCAGATGGATTTAATACAATTACATATATAAACTAGATGATAAACTACATTCAAAAGGACATTGTTTGATTATTTCTTCTGACAAAAATTAAATAAAATTACCACCTCTGTCGTTAGAATGTTATAATTCAGTTCGTATCTATTGCTCTACATATAAATATTAAACAGCTTGTTAATTATGCAACGCGTGAAAAAAAACATACACCATACAAAATACCTTTCAATTGAAAGGTAAATCACTCATTTTCGGAATTAGTTTTGCTTTAAAAAAAATGAAGCAAAACAATGATTGAAGTTTGAACCTGTTTGTGAATTGTTGAAATGTTAAAATTAAAATTAGTTGTTTAAAATTGGAAAATAAGGAATAAATGCAATATTCACTCTATTTACACTGTATCACATTCTAATCAGTTATTTGGTAACTGAACATAGTCGACGACAAACCCTGGACCTATTCTTCGTGATAATTTACACGTTAGAACATGATTTAGTTTTAATCTTGCGAATACTTATTCCAATCAGGCAACCCACCGTCATTGTTGTGCGGGATTTCGCAACAAAAGCTGAATTTTTCAGAAGTCGCTGTCGCAAAGGTCTTATATAATTATGGAGAAAACTAATAATGAAAAGTAAGAGCTATCAACACGTTAACGTGTTAAGAAAAATACTTATACGCATTCGAAATCATCACTCAATCATTGTTAGGCCACCATTAGAAACCTGGAAGCACTGGACGGCCTTTTAGTCCTGGTATGGGACTCATCAGCAGTGCGCATCCACGACTATTGCACCTCGCAGGATTCGAACCCGGGACCTTCGGTAATGTGCGCGAATGCCTAACCATCGAACCACTGGGCCGGCATCCAACGGTGTTAATGATGAGTCCTATACCAGGACGAAACGGCTGTCCAGTGCTTCCAGGTTTCTAATGGTGGTCTAACAATGATTGATTGATGATTTCAAATGTGTAAAAACACAAACCTCCAAAACTCTCCCCGAAAAACTGCTTATGTTGAAATAAAATGCATAGAAAAAGTAATAATCCAGGTTAGGGTTAAAGGGGTATGGAGAAGGAGGAGAGGTTCACTGTTTTGGACGACTAGAATTTTAAACAAAATTTTGAAGAGTTTGAATAGATTTCTTTTGTATAATTTATCCTAAGATTTTTTATGAATTGTAATAGCTTCCTCAATACTAAGAAGAGATCACTGAAAAGATCGTTATTTAGAAAAAGTTATTGAAAGTAATCATACTTCTCTTTGTTGAATTGATTGAAACCTACTCTGTCTAAATAAAGTGTTTCTAAATTTAGGTAACTGACTGGAAAACCTGCTTAAACTAAGTTTTGTGTTTCTTCCAGTTCGTCGGAAACGGATACTTACAACTCTGAAGAGATTGACTTCTTTTCAAATTGTAACATCTACAGTCGATTGATTTCTAAGAAGTGATCAAGGCTAGGTTTACCTAGTTCTTTAGCAGACCGAACTGCATGGACTTTGTTTCAGTTTGTTCACTGATATGAGTATTTTGACATTGATCACATTAAATTACTTTGGCCAGTGACTTGAAACTGTGAAAAAGATATTATTTTCATTTCAAAATATCTCATTTAAAATGTGATTAATAATTCTCTTTCCAATGTTTTACGAGAATTTTCCTATTTATTGAGCAAATAAAGTGAAAATTACAGAACAAAATGAAATTCCTAGTGCGGCACTCATCCAATCAATAAACAGAGAAGATACCCGAAAATGCTTGAAATCACAATCATATGAGGTAGAAAACTAAGGGAGCTTTAAATTCCCGGTTACGTATTTTATATTTCTCCATTTATTACTTGTTTGAAATAAACCAGTAATGCATGAAACATTAAACACAGTTATACTGAATAAATATTTCTGCAATATTAGATTTTCAAACAAGTATTTAGGCATATTTATAAACTGTAATACCTTCATGTGAATATGTCAGAATACAGAAGCTTTACAAAACTGAACTCAAATATGTTTTAAACTAGTTAGAATAACATTCGAATCCATTTCATTAACATGCAATAGATCTATCCAAGTGAGAAAACCATCTTAGTTATTCCGAATTTCGCTGTACAAGTATGTACAAATATAATTGTTCTACACTTAATCATAATTAGTTAAAGTTAAGCTTACATGTAGTGTGATAAAGACCACGATAATAACAGAAAATAACTAAGCACTCAAGTGTACAAGTAAGCTGTTCAGAATGGCTATTCAAGCAAATATCATTTCAATGGATTAAAGTATAACTAGTTTTGTCGGTAATTTATCTAACCAATGAATATCAGAAAAAATAGATAAAATGCACAAAGTGGCATACGGTACTATGAGATGGAGCATCGCTTAAAAGTTGCTATTAGAGACACGAATTTCAAAATGCATGGTGTAGTCAGAGTATTTTGAAGACCTAGAGGAGATCTAATAACCTACTTGTATTGCAAATTAATGTTTGTGTACATATTTTGCAAATGAATTGTGTCTTTTGCCAAAATATATTTTCCATCTGTTATAACTTCTTCGTGCATTACACTTGTACCTTTTGTTTCCATACATCAGTAACTGAGCTAATGAGCTAGGATAGTTACTAGACTATTCAATAATACGAATTTATCAGAAAGATTTTTTGACCTCACTTATTGATATTTATGACTGTAAATTATCAGTCTTACTTACCATGCGACCAGGAATCACTTATTTCAGCAGAAGTGCTTACTAGTTAATTTTGTCACTGAAAATCAAAATACTATCTGATGCAATAACAATCTGATCGGATTTTAAAATAATATATGAATTGCCAGCATCTTTGTTTAATGAAATTCTTTGATGGATGTAACACTCATGAACACGTTTTGACCTATTTTGATTTTAAAACATTCAGGTAGTTCATACTGAAGTTTAACAAATTAAAAAAATACAAGTTTATAACAACTATTAACACGTTTTGTATTCATAGTCACTCATTAAAGATTAGAAAATTAGTTTTGTAATTTATTTCAGTAGAAGGTAGTTAAAGTTAGTCAGCAAGAAACACTGCACGGCATAAACTGTGTTTTTTGGCTCTCGTAAGCAGGAAGTACATGTCCGTTTAAGGGGACTAACACCCTATAATGGATTCATTTCCATGTTACCATATTTCACAGTCACAGACTCTGTCACCTAACCACTCGGGCCGCGACTGACCTGAAATTTATTTCCTACTGGTCGAAAAAGTTCTATTAGCACTAAAAGACCTGACGTATATATCACACTGATTATTACTGAGTGATTGATTATTCGAAAATACATTTCACTGCTATGAGTGGTCAGTTTTGGCCTAAATAGCTTAGTGCAAACGTATGTGAGTGTGATATTCGAACAATGGGGATCTTTGATGAAATAAGGTAGTTTAATAAATAAGATGTTTCCAACATGTCACAGCATGTATAAACTGAAGAAATGTAAAGAAAAAAGAATTTTGCGTTAATATTTTTCACCAAGCTGATTGTTCAACACGTTCAGATAAATTGAATGAGTAAAACAAGTGAATGTAATCGTTGTTCTTAATAATATATTTGACTGATAAAAGGGCAGTCAAACTTTATTTATCAATTATAAGTCGCCATAAGACAGGTGATAGTTTTCGATTTCCCCTATCAATATTACTAGGATTACTCTATATGTGTGTAGGGCTTCAGCTGCTATTCTTTCTTTTGTGTGAACCAAAGGACTTTGAAGGATTGTTGTATGGTCACTATGAATGACCAGATTTTACTGAGTATAATGTTATTTTTCACTTGTTCTCTAGTAATTTTAAAGGTCTTCTGAGACTTTAGGAATACGCTTTCAACAAAGTTTGTGTTGCTTCAATTTCACATTCAGTTGTCTTGCTGTTTTACCCACAAACATACAAAACTCACACATTGATGATGAAAACCTTTTATTTCCTGTACAAAATATATATGGTTCTACCAATTCAGACCAAATGTAGTCACATGTACTTACAAACTCGTTAAATTATTATGTAAATTATTACACTGTCGATCTAGCCATTTGTAAATAAATGTTTTTCTTTATGTCCGATAAAAATTCACTGTCGATGAACATGATACTTATCATTGTCAATAGATCAAAGTACCACCCGTCGCGTCAAATAAATAGTTTCTACTCGGATTACTTCAAGTACCATGAATAGTGCCGAAGACATATTTAAATGATTAGTAGAGATAGTTTATAAGTAACTTGGAATAATGAGGACAATATTTTAATTTTGTTTTTTTAATTATTAGACAAATGGAACCACTCAATCACTTGTAATCATACAATACCTTCTACTTTTAAACAATCTTTGTCATATTATATTCCCAATCCTTTTGAAAAGAACAAATGTTTGGAAGTTGAAAAATCTTTTCCTGTTGTCAATACACCAAACTATACTAACAATTTTAATTATTCATCCTCTAAAGAAAATTTACTTGACTATTTTAAATCATCAGTTAATCAACAACATTTTAATAATCCATGTAATTTATTCTACCTAAATGAATGGTATCAATCGTATCATGAACGAAGTATATTCACACCGATTGAGAAAGATGAAAAACCTTTGGATTTATCGTTCAAAACAGATTCAACTCTCAATGAATCGATTTGGTCAGTTTATGTTATCTTTATTTTTAAATGAAATAATTTGTTTTAATTGTTTAATGAGATCGCTTTTGTTGCGTAACTAATGACAAATTATTTAAAAATGAATATATAAACAACAAAAGTATGTTTTACAAAGCAAAATTGTACATTTATGATGTATATATTAAAAGGATAAATATTTTGTTGAAAAAAAGATGACTTATTAGAAATTCGTTCAACTTATTGTACAAATCAAAAAACAACTAAGACACTATCAAGAAAACGAAAATATGATCGACAGAACATGATTATTTTCGTGATGATATCGACTACATATAAATGACTGACTGTGATTGACATAAGTTTCCGCATAAAATATCGCTCAGCATTGAATATCCAAATCCTGACATATTTCGTAAATTTTTGCGACTTTCTTTTAATGATTTGGGTGAGTCACTCTGAACTGGCCAAAATAGGAATAAACACGGTAGATAAGGCAGGGGTAGTATTTGTACAATCAAAAAACATCTGGTACTCAAAACAACTCTCGCCCAAGCCCGAGGTCAGAATCATCAATACCAATGTCAAGACGATTTTATTGTAAGGGTCTGGAACTGGGCGAATTATCGAAACTATCATTTGAACGATGCACACATTTATGAAGAGTTTTCTATTCAAGATACTCGAGATCTGTTGTCCAGACATTATCAGAAACAACCTACTGACTGTTAGAGAGAACAAAACAGATTTCATCTTATGAAGAAATCAGGAGAAAGTACTGGAGGTGAATTCGGACACATAGTAGGAATTTCTAAATTGCGTCAAGAGGCAATCCCTAACTTGAACTCTGTAGATGAGAGGGAAAGAGACAGATCAATGGACCTATTGGGCTGGAAATTGGAGAGCAGACATTTGAAGATTAGGAAGCGATTGTGTAGACCTGTAATGGAAGTCTCATGACAAAGTAAGTCGGAGAATGCTGGTCGGCCGCCCATGCTTCATTAGTGTTAACAAGCGCAAGTCGCTAAACAAATGAGCGTTTGGATTTAAGATTTAGTTTTAAAACATTATCTGTCTGAGAATAAGATATGTTTTATAAGTTACATTAATTAACAGGACAAATTCCTGGTTCGGTTTCATGAAAAACATTTCTTTAGATTTCGGGAATTTCAAGCACTAAGTATCATTAACAAGACAAATTTTCTTTCCCTATTCTTTATGTTTTACTGAGAATACCAGTATTTCTTTTTATTTATTTGTTCAAAAGTAAGGATGATATCACGCGGATACGTAACAATGTTAATTTTGACAACTTGATAAAATAATATCCATTGATTAGATTATGATGAAACTCTGCCCGTAGAACCTTCGGGGCTACTGCCGGTCCCAAGCCAGGATAAAGGAGGAGGGTTGGTCATGGGGTTGGCGACCCCATCCCACCAAAAAAACGCTAACCAGAAAAAATAAATCAGACCATTTTAACTCTGCCCTGGGAGTTGGAAGAAGAATTATGTCGTCTCGTGACGAAAGCCGAGTTCCCTCGGAAGTCACGAGTCCGATGCCTATTCTGACAACCAGAGCAACATTCTTTTAGGTACATGGAACGTTCGTACATTGTAGGAGACTGGAAGACTATTTCAAGCTGCGGCAGGAATGAAAAGATACAACCTCGAGGTGCTTGGAATTAGCGAAACGCATTGGACACAGGTAGGACAACTGAGACTAGCTTCATGGGAACTGCTGTTATACTCTGGTCATGAAGAGGAAAATGCTTCACATACACAGGGAGTTGCACTGATGCTGTCCAAAGAAGCACAAAAGCCACTGATAGGCACAACAGGACATACAACATCACACAAGTTTTATACAGACTTTCTGCGGGATACCGTAAAACCCAACGAATTCAACAATGCCCTCACCAATAGGTTCCAGGCCTTTCAGGATCTACTCAATGGAGTGGAAGCAACATTGGAGAACAATTGGAAAGGGATTAAGGAGGCAATCACTTCAACATGTCACGAAGTTCTGGGTCACAAGAAGTACCATCACAAGGAATGGATCTCTATTGATACTCTCGCAAAAATTGAAGAAAGGAGGAACAAGAAGGCAGCAATCAATGTCAGCCGAACAAGAGCGGAGAAAGTTACCGCACAAGCTGCATACACAGAAGCAAACAGGGAAGTGAAGAAGAGCATCAAAGCTGACAAACGAAAATATGTGGAAGATCTAGCAATGACGGCGGAAAAGGCTGCAAGAGAAGGAAACTTGAGACAATTGTACGAAACAACAAAGAAGCTGGCCGGAAACTATCGTAAACCAGAACGACCAGTGAAAACCAAGGAAGGCAAAGTAATCAGCAACACTGAACAACAGAGAAATAGGTTGGTAGAGCACTTTCAGGAACTCTTGAATCGACCAGCTCCGCTGAACCCACCTAAAATCGAAGCAGCATCCACCGACCTCCCAAATAATATTGACGCACCTGCGATTGAAGAGATCAGTATGGCCATCAGACAAATGAACAGCGGCAAAGCAGCAGGACCAGACAACATTCCAGAAGAGGTAATGAAAGCAGATGTGGAAGCAACTGCGAAAATATTTCACATTCCCTTCAACAAGATTTGGGATGAGGAACAAGTACCATCAGATTGGAAAGAAGGATACCTCATCAAAACTCCAAAGAAAGGAGATATCAGCAAGTGTGAGAACTAAAGAGGCATTACTCTTCTCTCAATACCAGGCAAAGTCTTCAACAGGGTATTGTTAAACAGAATGGAGGACTTCGTAGACGCCCAACTTCGAGATCAACAGGCCGGATTTCGTAAGGATCGATCGTGCACCGACTAAATTGCAACATTACGGATCATTGTGGTACAATCAGTAGAATAGAACTCACCACTCTACATCAACTTCACCGACTACGAGAAAGCATTCGATAGCGTGGACAGGAAAACACTATGGATTCTTCTTCGACACCATAGCGTCCTTAAAAGCATAGTCAATATCATACGGAATTCTTATGATGGATTCAACTGCAAAATCGTACAAGAAGGACAGCTAACAGACTCTTTCGAGGTGAAGACCGGTGTCAGGCAAGGTTGCTTACTCTCACCCTTTCTCTTTCTCCTGGTCATCGACTGGATTATGAAGACGTCAACATCTGGAGGGAAGCACGGTATCAACTGGACAGTTAGGACGCAGCTGGACGATCTGGACTTCGCAGATGATCTGGCTCTTCTAACGCACACTCAACAACAAATGCAAGAGAAGACGACCAATGTAGCAGCAGCCTCTGCAGCAATAGGTCTCAACATACATAAAGGAAAAAGCGAAATTCTCCTGTGCAACACAACATGCACCAACCAAATCACTCTTGATGGAGATGCCTTGGAGGACGTTAACACCTTTACATATTTGGGCAGCATCATCGACAACCAAGGTGGATCCGATGCAGATGTAAGGGCGCAGGTCGGCAAAGCAAGGGCTGCATTTCTACAGTTGAAAAATATCTGGAACTCCAAACAAATATCAATCAACACCAAAATTAGGATTGTCAATACAAATGTCAGAACAGTTCTACTGTATGGAGCGGAAACTTAGAGATCTATCAAAGCCATCGTCCAGAAGCTACAAGTATTCATTAACAGTTGTCTTCGCAAAATACTTCGGATTCGTTGGCCAGACACTATCAGAAACAACTTACTGTGGGAGAGAACAAATCAGATTCCAGTGGAGGAGGAAATCAGGAAGAAGCGGTGGAAGTGGATAGGACACACACTACGAAAAGCACGTAACTGCGTCACAAGACAAGCCCTCACGTGGAACCCTCAAGGCAAAAGGAAAAGAGGAAGGCCAAGGAACACATTTCGCCGAGAAATAGAGAAAGACATGAGAAGAATTTACAAAAACTGGAAAGAACTGGAAAGGGAAGCCCAGGACAGATTTGGTTGGAGAAAACTGTTGGGCGGCGTCTGCTCCGTTGGGGGTAACAGGTGTAAGTAAGTAAGTAAGATTATGATGCACATAGTTTTATCGTAACCATTTTCTAATATCTGAATCATATCATACAGTTTTAATTAATTCCAGAGGATTTATATCTCCTGTTTTGTTATTACGGTTTTTATTCTTACAGTCAACAACATCTGGAACCAGATAAACAACTCCCTAAGTTTCATAAAACACCAAATGAATCTTCAGAAGCTTGTTGTTATTGTTCTACTTATCTATCAGACTGTCATCATTTCAAAAAGCATAACTGTTCATATCAAGCAGACGTATTAAAGAAGCAATTTTCAATTCCACATGAAAATTCCATTAATTCGTCAAATGATTATTCAAATGACTCAACTTATTTCATCAGCAACTTTTCACAAAAATCTTTTACTAGTATAAATAATTTAACAAACTGTATATTAAGTGTAGTAGATCAAGAACCATCGACATCGAAAATTGAAAAATTCAGTATTCAACAGATAATTAATTCAACAAATCCATCATCAAATAAAGAATCCCAATTTATCAAACAAACAAGACGTCCATATACAGAAATTGAATTATCTGCAGCTGTGAAAGCTATTTGTTTCGGACGATTAGGAACACGTAGAGCTGCTAGTATTTATGGTATACCAAGATCAACACTTAGAAATAAAATATGTAAATTAAATGAATTGAAGAAAATAGAAGAAAAACGTCTCGGTGGTAAATCGATTGTTCTATCAAAATTTTTATTAGATTTAATTGAATTAAATAATGAATTTTTACATTCAACAAATCAAAATGTCAATTTTAAAGGACAAATCACAAAATCATTTCATAATATAAAAGAGATCAAATCTTGTTCACAGAGAAATTGTTCTAGTTATTTAATGCATACAATTAATCGTGTGGCGTCAATATTTCAAGTAGGTAATTTTTTGAATAATTTTTCACATAGTTCTTTATGCATAGTTATAATGGAACGATAAGTCGATTGTAACAAAATATTATAGAAAGAAAGGTGTAAAAAAGCTTGAGATATTTAATAATGACTTTAGGAATGATCATTCATTTCACGCTTCAATATTCCTTGGGACAGATTCAAAACTGACAGTCTTGGATAGTGAAGAATGGTTTAAAATATTTATGCTGAAAAATCCACAGGATTGAGAAGATACTGAATTAGAGAGATAGTATCTTCATCTGCGAGTTTGTAGTTTATCTGCTACACAATGTCTAATAAGAGCGCAATACATTCCATCTTCAGCGTTCATTTAGTGCGTGAATCCAGCTTAAAATGTTTAACTTTCAATGAGCTGTTAATTTCACTTTACTTACTTTTTTCATCCAATGATTTGCGATACGCAATGATGTTACGTTGATAGAAGGTTTATGTTGACAGTTTTAAATGACTGAAATGTTAGACCCGATGAAAATTAAACATTTATATGCCAAACTTATACAGTAAATAAACGGAAGAATGGATGGATGGATATTACTTACTTTCTTACATCTGTTACCCATAATAGAGCATAAGCCACCGATCAGTAAATTAATATTTCTGGTTAGTATTTTTTGGCGAGTAGATTTCTACGGGCTGGGGTTGTTAATCCCATAACCAACCCTCCTCCTTCATCTAAGCTTAAGGCCGACAGTAACGCCAGAAGGTCTGCAGGCAAAGTTCAGATAGATATGACTACAAAGAATTTTAGATATATGGATTATTTTTATGAAAACAGTGATGCAGTAAAACTCTCATAAAATGAGATTTTGATTAATCTCTGGTTTACCAAATGAAATATATGATAAGATAATCATTAGAGCTATCATCATTAGAACATCTGGCTGATTTAACGAAGCTTCCTACTTTCAGTTTTGTCTGAAGTACTTTATATCCCTAAAAAGGAATTTTACTGGAAATTTTTTTATTTTCATATTTTCACGTTTAAATATGTAGGAAAGTTATCTCTTCACAAACTAAACTTTCAACTGAAATCTTTCTTTAGCTATTTTTATCAATTAAGTGATTTGGTTTCCGTAATAGGAAGAGAATGTGAAAATTATTAACTCGCATAGGTTACATTGCGAATAAATCTAATTTGGACAGTCATTAAAAACTAACAAGTATAGTATGGTAAATTGGTTTAACTTAGACGTGTACACCATTGGAAGCTGACTCATAAGCTTAAGTATTCGTAGGGTCATGGGTTTGCACCACTGAGGAGTTTCATGCTAAGATGAAATGGCTGTACAATGCTTACTAGTTTTCATTGGTTCTTCACGATATAAGCTGTTTTCATTTCATTATCGTTGAATGAAACCATTTTCAGCAAATAATATTAATGAAAGATTTTCATATTGTGATGAAGTTAAGATGATGTTACTAGTTCGTAGTTGATATTGGTCATAAATTTAAAAGATTTATGAAAGCCTTGTCTCTACTCTAATTAATATATTTCTAAATTTACTAACCTCTTTAAATTTTCTTTGCTTAAACTGCTTGTTAACTCTCATTCACAAGCCTTTTTGTATTTTTCCTGTAAAATGAATTCATTCATTCATCAACGCGTTTCTGGCGTCATATACTCGTCTTTCATTTGTGTTTTGCTGAAATAAACTGTTGCAACAACTTCGTGCTACATTATGAAAATTATAATAATAATAACAGGGATCACTATGATAGCTGAACTATACTAACAGCTTTGAATATACTTCGTGGCTGTTTCAGTGTCAGTAGTTCATTAAACAAGTTTGTTTTATAAGCAGATGTAGGTAGTGACTACTAGTAAAATCCAAGCGACACATTTTGTTCTATTTCGAATTTATCAGTTAGAAAAATCTGCATCTCAAATTTGATTATTTACTCCTGGACGAAAATACAGTACCGATCTATTACAGTCTCAAACGTCGATGAAAAGATTCGAACAACCAAGGCAAGCGAATTAAGCCTCACTCCATTTCACAAGCCAGTGGCCATCTTGACTCAGTAGCTACGTGAATGATGCGATGGTGTTTGAAGTGGACTGTACTTAGTTCCAGTACTAGGGTGAACATCAACTCTGGGATGCAGGTACATTCAGATGAAGAGTACTAAATAGGAAGAAACGAGTGTCCTGGATTGGGCTGCTAGCCACTATCATTCTCTGTTAATAACGCTTGCCACTTAATGACCATATAGAGGTAATTCAAGTAGGATACATACGCCCCAAATGAGACTGGTCGGTTACAGTGCTAAACCTTAGTGGGAAAAAATTCAAACAACCAATACAAAAGAATTAAAAGTCTTGTTATTCTTCATTCAGGTGAATTGTCGAAGGAGTTACATGTATAAAAAGACTTCGAATAATAAATCAAAAAATGGATTGGAAAAGTCCATTCAAAGAAGAAGGTGACCTCAATTCATAAACTACGCCGTTCGCACCAACAGCCAATTAATTAATAACAAACCTGCTAATAGGTCGATTATCTAATGGTAGATATACGTGCCAAATTTTAAGACCAAATTTGAAGGACTTTTTATCAGTATTTATGTTGAAAATAATATTTTAAATTATAATATTGAAACAAATTTTTTTATTTAAATTTACTTAAAACAATTTGAATCAAACAAAATTGGATTGTCTTTAATTCCATTGATTTACAATGTTGTTGTATACAAAGGTGTTCTAAAATAAATCGATACAACCGAAGTATTTTATGCCTTTTTATCCACTGTATTATATACTGCGACTAAATGGGTGCCCAAGTTTATATAACCACTGAATTTGGTACACCATAGGAACACTAGATCACGTCAATGATTGATGACAATCAGTATCAAGTAATGAAGGTCCACATTGCGTTGAATCGGTGAATTCTCGTGACAGATAATTATTTTAAAATCCAAATTCCAGTGATCGTCATGTCAGTATGAGGTTATTTAACAGATCATTCTCATTTATTTTTTTTAAACATTCACCGATTCAATATACAAATGCTTTTTTATCCAGTCAAATTAGCTATTAGTTTTGATAAGTCAAAAATAGTTGAGCTGTAGCGGCATATTTTCTACATACATAAATAATCTAATATCTACCATGTATCATATTTTGTCAATGGGCCTATAGAAATATTGTATTTGGTTTGCCAACATCAGTTTTAGTCGGCATTGTCGTTTACCATGTTTGCTTCACTTAGTGAAGCGTGTATCATTGCTAAAAAGATGTTTATTGATGTAGCGTTTCTCCTGAAGCAACTAAACGTTTATGAGAATATGACTCTGTAACACTTTATAACACGAGAATCATGGAAATTTAAGTGATTTTTGTACAAAATATTTATACAAGATGAAGGGTTTCCCTGAGCCAGCAACAACGTCTCAGATGAAACGGTTTCTTTCAAAGTCAATTCTTTATCCATCACTGTAAACAGTCTTTTGGTAGGGGCTGTAAATCCTATATATTTTTTGGCTAAAATAAGGTCTTTGTGCACTATCTAGATGGTCGAAGAGTCGTAATCACGGATTGTTACGAGAAAGATCCTCGCTTTCGTCGTTTGAGAGTCAATCAGATGAATAAGATTCGTTTGTTACTGATGTCCAAAGTTGAAGCTTTTGTTCCTAACAATTTTGTACATTAAAACTACGGAAAGAAGAGAATCGCCCAAAATGTTTTTGGTATGCAGCGACGTTTATTTAACTGATCTACACTTCCAGGTTGGTCTTAATTTGATTATTATATCCAATGGGTAGGTGATTTTGAGACGTTAGCTACACATATCATTGGATTTGGAGTTGCATCTGAGACGTATTGTGAAGTGAACAATTGTATAAAATGCTAATTTTCTTAAGCAGCAGATCAAATAATATAGCTCATCAATTTTCACACGTCGAACGTATTTACGGTAAGTACAAATGCAACAAGGAGGATACGTATCTGTATGAGATGGCGGCAATAAATACCTCCATGAACACAATGCCCGTAGCATTTGGATTTGGCGCCGGAGGGACATCCGAGCTGATAAGTAGCTTCTTAATCTTCTTCCGAAGCTGTGTTTGGATAAGAATGCCTCTGTCATCTTTTATTGATGACGACAGTCTTTTAATAAATAATGAACTATCTACTATTTATCGTATATTGTATCAAATACATACTTTGCTAACGAGAGTACTAGAATATTTTTCTCCCATCGTATTCCATAATAGTAGTATAGCAATGAAATTGGTCTGGGTGACAAAGTTTATTCTAACACCTAATCGGATACTAGGACGGTGCACTACACAGAGACTGTCATACTATTTTAGATTCCCAACTCACGACCAAAACAGAGAATCAGAGTACCACAAGACTAGACACGAGACACTTATTCACCTAGAGGGTTGACTACGTTGTGTAAACTGAGGAATGTAATTTGTGATTAGTTTCCGTCAAGAAAAATGCCTATAGAAATGTTTATTTTCTCATTGTTTTCAGCTATATGCCACTCATGAGTAAGAATGACTTTGCAGTCCCAGCCCTTGATTTCTATGTGGTTGTCAATATCAACGATCTAGCACGAGTCAAAAGAAACGTTTGTAAAGCGAATAAGCAATAAACTGAAGTGTAAACCTCCAATTTGAACCCAGAAATTATCAGAACTGTTTAGGATTTGGCGGTTGCCAATAGACGCTTCCAATCGTATTGTCAAGAATATTGCTTATCACAGTAAAGAAAAATAAACGTCAACGGCATTGATTTGCGCAGACGATGCGAAGATCTTGAGGTCCATTAGAAGCGAAGAGGATTCGACTGAGCTTCGAAAGGACCTTACATCTATTGAGAAATGGGCAGTGAAAAACGGTTTAAAACTCAACCAACCGAAGTGCCACGTCATGCATTTCCTGCCTCATATGACGCAAACGACCTATACTCTCAATGGAAGTCCGCTCCCTAATGTCTCCTCAGAGCGCGATCTTGGTTTAATAACCACAGAAAGCCTCCACACCAGTCCAAACTATGTAGGGGATGCAGCCAAGGCAAATGCAACTCTTCACTTTATGCGAAGACAGCTTGGTGCTATCACCCCGAAATTATTTTTAACCCTGTTTAAGACGTACGCGCGCCCACACTTGGAGGTTCACAACGTCATCGCACCCCGTCTGCTTAAAAGAGACATTAATCTCTTGGATCGAGTGCAGAGACGAGCAACGAAATGGGTGATAGGGTTGAAAAATAAACCCTACCACGATAGACTCCAGCTCTTGGGATTATTTCTACTGAGCTAAAGGAGAATCAGAGGCGATCCGATTATGGCGCACACCATATTAAACACGCCAAACCATCTCTATGTGATCATCCTACCGATGCATCACCACCACTCCCCTCGAGGCAATCCTCGAAAGATTGCACATCAAAGAGCGAATACTCAGATTCGTGCACACTTTTTCTCATTGCGAGTCGTCGCAACTTGGAATGCTCTCCCAGCCGAGGTAGTTACAGCCCCCTCAGTGGACTGCTTTAAGAAGAGACTTGATAATCACTTATTCACATACGGACTGTCATCTCCCTCTTGGACAAGCTGTGCCTGATGCATATCTTGAGACCTGCTAGTTGTTGCCACTGCCATCTCCTCAGATCACTCAATTAATCTATCTCGCCTACTATCTCTGTTTCCTCTCCCTTGCTTACACTTCGGTCCTCTCTCACAATCTTCACTACCAATTAACAAACTAAGTTCATCTATATATTACTCAGTTCTGAAATTTTATTCATATTATCATTTTAATTTTATCCTTATTACCCTTCTTACTCTCCACATTGCAACTAACTGATCTCCGGTCTGATAATGTGACGGCTGCTAGTATCCAGAAACCCTACTGCCCTGAAACAAACGTTTCATTCAAATACCGAGACATACAAACTCACAACCAACTGCCAACTGACTAGAATTAGACAGTCGAGTGGCTAGACCTCCATCCATTGGACGTTACCGAACACCTGGAACCGTACCGAAAGAACAAGAATCGAGCGCGAAGAAATCAAATTGGTTTACACTAGCTCGTGAAAAAGATATTGGATATTGAACACAAATGTACCTGTTTAGACACAAGATGAACGGGGAGTCATCGATAACTAAGATTCAGAAAACAGCGCAAACTGTTTTAGTGGTGAGAGATACCAGATTGACTATGATCACCACTAAATGTTCCATACTAACCTGTCATATATATCAAAATAAATCCATGTTTCAATATTTTATTGAAGGAGAAAGTAGGAATTACATGAGGAGCAGAGCGTTTAGAAAAATGGCAGCAACGCGAAGAGAACGTTGCGCGCAAGAAGTGTTTTTGGTACAGTTAAACAAAGCGAGTACAATAATGTTTATTTTTCACAAATCGTATTTTCTTCATAGAAGCGTTCCACTACACTGTGTTGCAATAGCCGCCCAAGGTTTTAGAGACCCCTTGTTAATACGTAGATTCCCTAGTTATGTCAACGCTAAAGCCCTACTGATTTTTTACGGAGTTCGTTTGTCTTGAATAAACCTGTCTCCCTCGTCATACAAAAAGATCAGGAGTAAACTGAGCACGGTCTATAAACCACTTAATGACATATTGGCATCTGTTATACTCTAATTTTTTTCTTCAGCCTAGTAATCTCTTATTCATGGAACCGCTTTACGTACGTGCGGTGAACAATACCAGTCTACTTTTTCGTATCACCTCAATTACGATTATATTTACAACATATATTCGGTAAGAAGGATAGTTTAACTACATACTACATTGGGTAAATAAAAACGGAGAAATAAATAATAATGACAGAATGTAATGTAAAACAGCATTAATGGTTAACTGCAGATACTATCGGCTATCTGAGGAAAGTTATCAATGTTGCAGTATTAATGGTGTGAGAAGTATTAAGCTTCCAACGTTAAATGTTTTAATACTTTGTTAACTTTAAAATGTTCACCTCATGATTGTGAAGAAATACCTTTAGATGTTCTCCTCTTCGAATGTTTAAGCTCTCAAACATCATTCTCACCTCTGGTTGCTGGTACTGTAAGTAGAGCTAATAACTAAAACCTTTACATACCGTCAACAAATTACGGTTTTATTGTAGGGGTTTAGGCGAATTTACGTTACGGACCTGCCTCCAGGAGAACCTCTCATATCACCGTTTCGCCTTAGAGAATTGCTAGCATACACCGAGGCCTGAAAACATAATATTACGCACTAAACTATAGACATGTGAACTTTTATCGTCTTAAAATACAATAGAGCAACTTCCAAGCTTTTTTTCTCTATGACTAATTCACTCATTTTATCCAACGATAATGACCGTGGCAGTACTAGTCTCAGATTTTCCGTGATCGTTTGTAACAACGTTCCTCATCTATAGATCACAAACCACCCAAACGTCTTCTCAAAGATAGCTATCTATCGTTCTGACTAGTTTTATTGCGAACAGAAGTGTGCAACTAAATTATTCCTCGGATTATTGCTGAAGCACGACTCATGTTCATATAAGCTAGTAAACCACGCCGCAAATAAAAAGAACGTCAAATCTCGATCAATAGGCTGAAAATTTATTCGTAAATTACGAGCAGTCCGCCCATGTATAGCGTTCTAATAACGAACACAACATA